CAATCAGCAGGAGCAGGAGCGGGAGCGGGAGCGGGAGCAGGAGCACAGTACAGAACAGAACAAAAGAACAGAACAGAATTTAGAACTAGAACTAGACTCAATTAGAATTCAAATTAGGGTAGATTAAGTCCCAGATTCTGCAGACATGTTACAGCCTTTTTATTTATCTGAAGTGGGTCATACTTGTTCTTATATAACTTGGCCATCAGTAATTTGTTTCTAGAAGTAACCCCAGCCAACTCTCCCTTGCTTATAAGAACTGGGCGCTGCTGTGGCGGGGAATACAAGGGGAAGCAAAAAGGCACGTGTTGAATACTTGCAAGCTACACACTCCTTCTTAACTCTCCTAATGCTTTAATACTACAATGAACTTGCACTTCCCAAACTCTGCTGGTGACAAGGGATCTCACTGGGTTAGGAAGCGCAGATAATGTCACGTGAGGAACTGCTTTTTCTGTTTGTACTTTACGCTGCTTCTTTCGGTTTCTTTCCACATCCCACTCACTGCCGTGACCTCACAAAGGTGCCTGCAGGTGCGGGCTCAAGAGCAGACTGTGGAGGAATTTGACAATGTCATGAAGCAAACAAGCAGGAAGGCCAAGGGGCAGCCCCCTGGACCCCGCTCCCTGCTTGTGCTGGCTCCCAGCAGAGCAGCTGAAACGGTGAGAAGTCACGGGGAGGCGGCGAGAAACCTCAGGCAGTCTGCCATCAGCAGCGGGCCAGGATGCGGAAGTCTCAGGCAGGGCGGCGGCTCCCTCAGGTCTCTCGCCTGTGCAGACCCACTCATCTGTGGCCACATCTCTCCACGAGGCTGCGATGGTGACGGGCAGCTCTGTGTTCCATCCTCTTGTCCACAGAGGCAGTGGGAGCGGCAACCGCCTTGTGATTCCTGGCACTTCGGATGGAAAGCAAACGAGCCAAGCCCTTGCCGAGCTTTCCCAGCTGGGCCTACACACAGACATCGCGCTTTCCTCCTCTCAACTACCACTCCTTCCTTGGTTCCATCCCTTTCCCATCCAGGACTGTGAACTACGCAACCTCTCTCCATCCTGGGAAAACACACCCTTCTCCACAAGAAGTGCAAACAGCAGGTGCTGGAACTGAGGTTCGGCATGGCGGCTTGGCCCACAGGGACTGGCAGGCAGGCACTTCCGCTGCTTCCTCCAACACAGCACGGCATAACCATGTCACCCACATTTTCATAGTATATTCCTTGTTTAATGACCTGCCTGTTTAACAGCTACTTGGATTTGGGACTGAGACTCGCTGTTTGGATTTATCACCCACTGACAGGTTCTGGCCCTAGTATGAATTGCTAAAATCATTATGGTGGCCATCTAACGGCTGATGCCCTTACCTCTTCCCAAGACCACCTCCCGCTTCTTCTCCAACTCAGCCCAGGACATAGTTTGCTTCCACCCTTCCCGCCACCTCAGGGAAGACCCCGAATCAGCCCCTCAGGTATATCTAAACAGCTCCTCCAAACCCCACCCCTGGCAAAGGCCATAAAAGCCTCAGCCTCCCCTTGTTTCAGTCAAGAAAATTCCTTATCCTCCCCACATTCTCTCCTGAGTCCTTAAAGAAAATGAAGCCCCTTTCCCTTCTCCCTTCTGCCTGTTCTCTGCTGTGCTGAGTACCTATCACCTACCACCTGAACTTATGCCTAGCTTTTAAAATTTTTGGTACAGTACTACACATCTTATTTAAAAACTGTCAATCTGGTTTTTGTACAGCATTTCTTATTTATGCAATACTGTAATTTTATATGGTTACACTGTAGTTTTATGTTCTGTCATACATTACTGTACTGCATGTAAGTTATGCAAATAAAAGCAAAGTCATCAAGCTGGAGTTTTGTTTGACTATTTCTTTGTTCTGAATATTGAATGTACATAGTATATACAATTCCTAATTTAGTGACCTAGTCACAGGCTGACTGTGTCAACTGAGGAATGTTTGGACGGCACCTGAACGTTTACTAGGCCTTGTTCCAGACTCCTGAATCCACACTTGCATTTTTACAAGACTCTAAGTGCATTATAACTTGGCAAGCACAAGTCTAACTCACTCACTGGTGTCCTACAACTCACTGGTAGTCTGGTCAGTGGCCTAATCTAAATCAAATTTTACCAAGAGAGTCACATGTATGCATGCCCCGTAAATGGGTGTTTTCACACTACAATGGAAGAGGTGAGTAGGGTCGACAGAGACTGTAGTCACAGAGCCTGAAATAATTACCTCAGGTTCTTTAACAGAGAAAGTCTACAATTATTTAAGAGTGAGAACCTCGGCATATTTTGCCTAATATAGGCTTCTTGGAAGACAAGATTTGCACGCAGGTTCTACCACTCCCATGGAAATGACTTACGCCGCAGCCTCTCTGGGCCTCACTCCCCATCTACAGAATGGGACTAGGTCACAGCAACCAAGATGTGAGAACAAGCCAAAGGCTGTCAGCAGGTGAGTGGGTGCGACAGCTGTGGCCCGCCCACACAGTACGATGGCCCTGGAGGAAAACACAGCAAGCGGAGCGACCAACGAACTCTTCAGGACGTTGCTTACACGTAGTCATGTAAATTCACTGAAGCAGAAAACAACGGTGGTTCTTCAGTCTGCCACCACCATCCAGTAAGCGAGGAGGTGGAGAAGGGAACTGCTGTGCCTGGCACGCACTCCACCCATGCAAGACAAGGGCTCTCGACGTCTGACACACAGCTGCGCCGTTTACAGTTAGCAAGAGCGTACCGTGCCATTTGCTAAGGGGGTGGAGTTCACGCTGTGTGTTTCTTTCCAATGATTTGGAAATTTCAAAATGGGAAGCCGGGTAGCTTGCATTCATGCTACAATGAGCATAATCTAAGCATCTACATGCTCCTCCGTCCAGATGCTTGAGTACACTTCTCTGAGATTTTGTGAAGCCTCACCTATAAATACAAAATTAAAAATGTGGGTGACCTGCGATGATGAAGTGTGGCTTTCTCGAGCTCAAGCAAGCAGTGGTAAGGATCACGTTTACAGTCTGACCGCAAACAACACAGTATCTCTCCCTTCTTGTTAACAGAGGTGTGATTTAGAAGAAAAGGCTTTCATCTTACTTCAAATATTAAAATTCTGACAAGTGAATTGAAATGTTATCACAAAAACAAAAGCGCCCTGGGCTAAGGCTCCGCGCCCTGCTGGGAGCCGCGTCACGGCAGCCCTTGCCGGCTCTCAGCCCTGCTCTCCCTGGTCGGGGCCTGCCACCCACACACGCAGGTCAGTTTCGCGCCCAGGCGAGCACCGGTGATGTCCTTGTGGTACCCCTGCTTTTCGTCCTGGGGAGGAGGGTCCGAGAACAGCTTTTGGGACAGGTAGGGGAGAGGTGGGGCTTCCTTTTCGGGAGTGGGGGTACTGGAAACTGAACCCAGGACCTCCCGCTTACCAGACAGGCGCCATGCTGCTGAGCTATACCCCCAGCCCTGGCGCTTCTCATATAACGGAAGATATGAGAAAGTTCTTTGGGCTGGAAATGTTGAGATTCCTTAGTATTCTTTGCCACAGGAAATTCGCGGTGTGTCAGTTTACGGACCTCCTGGATTTGCACCACATTTGAACCAGAACTCCTAGCACATTCAAACCACACAGGTGGCTAGCTACACAAGGGGCATGCGCAGCGGCCCTGGGCAGCAGAAGCCAGGCTGCCCACCCTCTCCTACCCGGAGCACAACGGCCTGGCTGGAGCCCTGCGACTGCACAGCCCTGTGTGCCCAAGGTGCAATGCTCAGCTACCCTGCCTGCCGAAGCCTAGGGTGGAGACATTTTGAGAACTTCAGAGCCTCTGTAGCGCTACCACAATCAGACTTCAAGGGCAGCAGGACCCTGAGACACCATCTCCCTCATCCCCGTGCTTTCAGCAACAGCACAACTCAGTCTCCCTGTTACTTGAGGACGTGACTTAGGGTTAGGAGGGAAAGTACCAGAATTTCACAACATTTTTCTACGAACACTTTATCTGTGTGCCTATCACCTACTCGAGAGTGTGAAAGATCTCTGAGCTGGTCCCTGATGCCTGAGCCGATTTTCGTCGGAGTACCTCTAGGAACCTCCACGTGTGGGAGGGGCTTTCAGGGCCCCAAGCCCTGCTGAGGGGCAGCTGTGATGTCCCAGGGACACCAAGCACCTCTCCTGCAGTCACTGCAGACAGCTGGTGGGCCGCATCTCCCTCGGAGCTCTGTCTGCCTCTGTTCCCCTCAGTCATTCCCCCAGACTGTCCCACCTTTCTAGGGTTTGATGCAGCCTGGCAGAGCACCTCTGGCTCCATGCTGGGTTCAGACCAGATCCTTAGGGAGCAGGAAGCGAAAGCTGTTCTCTGAACATCTGCTAAGATTATTTGTTCAGGACGAGTTTCCTGCCAAAGACTTGCAAACGAGGCCCCTTCGTCCCTGGTTTCTGTCCTCTGGGCCTTCTCACCCACGGGCCCAGAGCTTCCCTTTCTCTGTAGAAACACTGAGGCTGAATAACTCACCATTTGATTTTGCTGAAGACAGAGGGCAAGTCACAAATCACCAAGCTCAGGGCTCCTGAGAGGGGCTGGGAGGGAAGCTCCTACAGGCTGTGGTGCTGCTGCTGCCCTGCAGCATAGGGTGCACAGGGAAGGGCAGATGTACCAGGAGCTCGGGCAGTGGCTCTGAAGCCGCTGGCCAGAAGGGTGGCCTCCCAGGGCAGCTGCCTTCATCCTCCGTATGGCTGCCTGGCTGGAAGACAGCCCAGGAGTGAGACAGCCCTTGAGCAAGTGTTCTTCCATCTTGTAGAATTGTGGGAAAACTAGTTAGCATTTGGAGCCTCACTTTCAGGAGTGGCTCTGAATGAATTTTCAGTTTTCAGGTGGGAGCAGACAGCTCCAAAGATTATTTTCTCTTCCAAGGAAACTTGGTGATGTTTTTTTCCCGTTCTATCCCGAGCTGGAAGATTGGTGATTTAGGCACATATGTGCACAGGGCTAGGCTTGTGATAAATAGTCAGAGGAAGACAAGGGAAGGAAAGGGGCTCATTCCTTTATTTCACAGCTTCCTCCTCCAAAGCAAACAGGATTTATCTAGTAGCAATAACCTGCAAAAAGCTATGGAAATGGGCATCACACATGCAACTGCTGTATATATGTATATATAGTTCTGCTTGTCCCCTGCGACAACTGGAGCAGAACGGAAGGAGGACTGAGCCTCCGAAGGAGCCACAGCCCAGGCCCCAGGGCACAGGATTCCTGCTGGGCAAAGCAGAGCATCACTCCACTAAGAGGCCACACCAGTCCTCTTGGGGCTACCTGGGGACTTGGAGGCTGTCGTGGTGGACACAGCATCTTCAGATGAGGCATGGAGACCCAGGAACTCCAGGATGATGTCACCAAGGCAGAAAACTAAGTGTCTGAAACAAACAAAAGAGTACTGTGGAGGGGCCTGGCTCAGTCACGGCACAGGATCCCGCAGGCATGTGCTTTCTCTTCTCCCCAAGTCAGTACTTATAACCTAAGCAGCAACAGTATGATGAACAAACTGCCATGAAATCGATGCAGAACTACTGATGGCAAGAACGACACTTGAAACTGGACTTTTACACAAATTGACCTCTTTTTACAGAGCTACGTGAGCACATCAGACTACCCTGTGAGTTGGCAAGGGGCCACCTCGTGACGCCCGTCACTGACCGCTGCGGCTTCTCAGTGAGGCAAAGCCTGGAGGGCAGTCAGAGACCTCTGCTTTGGGGCTGGAGAGAGGGCTGCAGGGCTCCTGAGACCTGCCAAAAGCCTCTCCGCCTAAGGGATGCAGCCTAGCTAGCTCTCCTCAAGTACTCCTGCAGTCTTCACCCATCTTTTCGGCTCCCTTTATGAGACAACCTTACTATCTTGTCCATTCCATGGTAAGCAGACAGCCCTGATCCCAGCACTAGTCACAGCTTTGCTGTGAGCTCAGGAATTGCTGCATGGCAGGCACAGGTGCAGGGTGAACACAGGCTGGCTGGGGTTGCAAAGAAAGAACCACTCAGCACACTGAACAAGTCCAAAAGACACTTTCAGTAACGCACGTGAAGGCCTGTGTGGTGGCTGGCCCTGCGGGAGCTTACTACCGAAGCAACCTGCTCTGAAGCTGAACAGCGGAGTTCACACAGCGTGTGGAATCCAAACACGGCTGCTGTGGCCAAGGGTCCAACCAAGGCAAGCCACGCCCACCACCCGGTCCTTCACGCAGAAACCCCACATTCCTCATAGTGCAGGGTACATGGGCCTACCTGTTGATGAGGGGCTGCTGTAGGGACTCCAGGACGAGCGCCCAGCTCAGCCGGCATTTGTCCACTCCTAGGATCTCTACTAAGAAATCTGATGAGGGAAAAACAGAAGATTCCTGTATTACTGCTGAAGCCTTAGAGCTGAAAGAGGTTGTCCCCCAGGGTCTCAGCCATCTTACACAGGCTGGGCATTTCTGGTACATCTCCAACCTCATACCAATCTAAAATCCACACCATACAGAAATACATTTCCTTAAGTTACGCACCTAAATAAGAATGGGTCGCTAAGAAATAATTTTGTAAGCTGCCACAAAAGTGCAGGTACTACTTCTGAGGTGACAGTTCAGGCTGCAGCAGATAGGCTAGCGGGGTAAATGATAATACTCCTGCTCAGCGCAGAGTTTACTACTGCTCCCTGGCTACCCCTGCCTTCCCCGCTCTCTAAAACAACACAAAGGAAGAAATGGTTTCCAGGTGGGCCTCTAATGATCAAGTCGGAGCTTGTGCAGGATGTACCGCGTCCTTCTCTGGTCCCCAAACACCACGAGCTGTCCAATAACTCAGAGCCTGCAGCTGGTAAGAAGGCTCTGAGACCCGCTCCTGCGGCACTGCCTCTTGAGACCTGCTCGTGTGGTTCTACACCAGGTGCTACAGAACTCGCCCTAGAGCTGGGGTAGGGGGTAGCCAGGCGACACATGTCGCGCCCTTGCGATCCCTGAGCAGAACGGCAGCCACATCCGTCTCTCTTTAGCCCGGGTGTTAGCCTAGCCATATTCTAGGCCCGTTCAAAAATGGGAAGGATGTAGACAGCAGTGGCACAACAGTACAGGAAGACAGAGCTATCCGCAGACGTGGTCTCCTTGGGCCGCTTACCTGGCAGGACTCCCACAAGGCTCTGCAAAGCCTGTTTCTCGGTAGCCAGCTTCTGCTCCTGAGTCCTTACAGGTCGTGGAAGCTTAGGCAAGACTCCACCGGGCCAGATGGACTCCTGAAGAAGCTGCAGGTACTGCACCCACTGCTGTGGACACGTCAGGTTAGCCACCTGCACCTCTAGCCACCTGGCGGAGACGGGAAAGGACAGCTCAGGGAGGTCTGAAGGACTGTGCAGCAGGCAGCGGACTCCACGACTAGGTCTCCCCGAGGGTCACAGGCCGAGTGTGATCGCTCCAGGTGCTGGCATCACAAGGCGGGGACTTCCGCGGGCCGGAGCCCCGGAGAACGCAAGCGAGTGCCCTCGTGCCAGAGCCCCAGGGCAGGGCCCGCACCCGTGCCACCACGTGTGGACACAGAGGTGGCACTCATGAGCAAGGCAATGCGCTCGCCAGACGCTCAGTCTGCTAGAGTTTGTACTCGGGACTTGGAAGTCTGCAGAACTGTGAGAAACACATTTCTACTTCTTGGCCACCAGTTTATGATATTTTCTTAGAGCAGCCCTACCCTCGTGTGCTAAGCACAATCACACGAGCAACCTGAACAGGGCAAAGCAAAGTGCGCACTAACACGCACAACGGAAACTGAGGCAAGGCAACAGCCAGGAGTGGAGAATGGGAAGGTGTCACGTACGCAAGACACTTAGTATGCGGACTGTCATTTGCTCAATGGCCACAGCGAGCCACGAACGGCAGCCAGGTTCTGCAAAACGGGGCTGAGCAGCCTCAGCCGCAGGGAAGGGCGAGGCCGAGTCTTTCTGGCTCTGCCAGTGGGAAGATCTTAACCGCCTCAGTGTCCTGCACCCCAGCCTTCAGAGTAAGGGTTGCTGTTTTTATTTTGTACTAGGAGTCAAACTCAGGACCTCCCTCTTGCCAGGCAGGTGCTGTGCCACTGAGCTACAGCCCGACCCAGGGCTGGCGTTTTAACGAAGAAGCCCTCACCGCTCTCCCTCATTGCTCTGCTGCACACAGACTTCACAGCCCTTGCAGGCTGCGGCCTGCCTTGCCAGCGGGCCTCTTCTCTCCTGGAGCTGAGGTCTTGCTTTAATTCCACCTCTCCCACAAACCCTTCTAGACTGGCCCAGCTAAACGTACTCTCCATCTGCCTGGATGTCCGAGGGTGGAAGCTAGTATTTCACTCTGGAATATCAATTATTTTCTCATGTGCACAGAGCTTTCAACTGAACTGTATGTAAGTGCCACAAGAGCTCTGGGCCGCGATTCTCTTAAAAATTTACCAGTCAGTGCTCAAGAAGTGTCTGCAGGCTGCTAGCAACTGCTTTCATTATGAAAACTACTTCCTTGTGTTTTACCTTCAAATACTACTCAGTTACCTCCGACAGGCAGATCTAGAAAATCTGGAAGGCATTTCAGCATTACTCGTTCTCTCTGTTTCCCAGAGTGCCATGGTAGCTGGGGGGTGACCGTCGTGGTCTCTTTCCCATGAACTGCATTTGCACGGGCATGCCTACACTGGCCATGAATGGACCCTCAACTGTATGTACTCGCATCCAGAAGATGGCTCAGGACCACAACACATGGCCACTCATGCCACTGCTCCTACTCCCAAATTACTCGTCGCTCATCAAAGAGCAGAGGGGGCTGCCAAGGCAAACTTTATTTAACTGCAGCTATGCCAGACAGTCTGCATTCCAGTCAAGCTGGGCATTCCAGTCCTGGGGGCTACAATCCCCCAAGCCCAGGGCTCACAAATGAGTCTAAGAATAGCGTCTCTGAAAGGTAATAGCAGGGCAAGAATGGCAGACCTCGACGGAGATCAAGCGCGGCACAAAGCTGCTCTTGCCCAAAATAGTGCTCACGGTCGTGCCCGTTATTATTAGGGCCGCATCTCCTGTTCACAGGGCTTTTCATTCAGCGAGCCTAAGCCACCTGAGGAGAGGGAGCCAGGGGCACAGATGCTTGTTTCTGTTTATAGAAGAGGGTCACCGAAGGGAGGTAGCTGGGTCAGGCTCTCTGCAGGGGAGCAAGTAACCCACGGGCTCCCCTTGTTGACCTCGAGCGTGTGCTTCTGTGGTCCTGTGGACTGCACAATGTGCACGGGTGCTCATCTGAGAGACATGGGGGGGAGAGGTAAAGCCTTCTAACTGAAATCTTCAAAGACCCCAAGACTCCTAGACCTAGACACATACACCACAATTAGGTTTAGCCCATCTTCTCACTCAGACAGTGTACACAATAAGCTACTCTGCCCCTATTTCTGTCCTCTGGAGTCAAGAATGCCTGTGACTCAAACTCCTCCTCAAACTATCAGCATGCATACGGTTCTTCCCAGACTCATCATTAGAGCATAGCTAACCAAGCACCTCGGTGGTCTTCCGGCCGTGTCTCACAGGACAGAGGCTGATGTCTTTGGCATGACCATTCAACTCATCCAATGGGGACATGACCTTAACTGCAGTATGGCCAGCATGTCCTCTGCTCTCTTCCAAGGTGAGTTTCATCTCATACACATGATGAATGCCAAAGAAATTTTAATACATGGCCAAGTGTGAAGGCACGCAAGTGTCTAAGACCTCGACTGACTGAACTCTAAGAGGGAAGGAAGAATCAAAGTCTGTAAAATCCAGATTAGCCTCCTGTTGGTCAGAATGATTCAGCAGGCGGAATAAGCCTAGGGGAGCTCATGAGGAGAGTGACTGGCAGGACCAAAACCTGTAAATAAGGCATCAACTGCAAATGCAGAAAGACACCATGCAGGCCTATCAACCTGAGGCCTGGTGCTGGTCCACGGAAGGCCCTGGCTGGCAGATGTAGGAATAGAACACATGACACAAGACACACGTAGACCAAAAGAAAGAAAAGCTTTGGGCCTACAAAGAGGAGTAGGTTCGAAGGTGGCTTCCACCTTTGAGAGTTACGGAGTCAGCCTTGTTATTTTCCAACACGCCAGCCTACATGTTTGCGCCCATGAGACCTAAACCTGTGCGGATTTCTCCTCTTGCCCAGGTTCCTCCCTCGCTCAGAAAACGACGGTCAATCTCCAGAAACCTGGGCTCAGCCGCCTCACTTCCTGACCCCAGGCAGCCTGGGCGGGAGTCTCGGGGCGGCACAGCTCGCCTGTGAGCAGAACTCCTGAGAGCTCATCACGCATGAGAAGCACTTGAGTCTGGAAGGGGCAGTGACAAATCTCAGAGCAGGAGGCCCCTGCCCCGCCTCCACCCCTGCAGTGCACTTACTACAGTCTGTGAGCTGGCGTCAGTCTCTAAGACATGCTTCGCATCACCTGCAAGGCCTTTTAGGCTGCTAATGGCTAGATTTGGGGGTCTGGTATAACTGTCCTGCTTGATTCCTAGGCGAACCAAATGGCCACCGGCTCCTGACAGCAGTGAAAGGGGCGGGGGGGATGCCTTCACCCATGGAGCCCATCTCTCCTCCCCACCCCATCTTCCCTGCCTCTGACTGCTTCTTCCTACGTGAGGCTCTACCCCCACCACTACCGCCATTTACTTGGTCCTGCTCGCTTTACTCAGAGACTGTGAGAACAGGGAGGACAAAGAGCCCAGGTGCGTGGAGCAGAGGAGACACTGGCCTCTGCCCCTCCCTGTGAGCGCCCTCCTCTCCACCCCAGGGAGAAGGTCATAAGCCGTGTGTGTCCTCACGGCTCTCTGAAGGCGAGAGATGGGGCTTCTGCATCCCAGGAGCGCGGGCGGCGTCCGTGTCTGCACTGTTCAAACTGCGAGCTGTGCGTCACCAGCACTCACATCGTGTGTTTTACTGTTTGTGGCATTAAGCATCAATCAGCTGTACTGAGTGCCCATTACTCTTGGGCTAAGAAAGAGCGAAAGCGTCAAGGAGGGCACGCATACCTATTCTACTACTATTTACTATAAAATACTTATAATAAACTAAGTACAAATGCTATATAATACAAAACACATGAGGTAAATATGCTAAAATAAATGCAGCAGAGAATAGCCTCGAATGCCCCGTTTATTTTCCCTTACTATTTCAGTTCAGATACTGCTTTGGGGATCCTTGCTTCTATTATTCTACCTTTGCCCACCCCCGCTAAAAGGAAGAAGCCCAAAGGAACTCTATGCTGTCAAGCCCCTGAGGGGACCCAGAAATAGTCAACAACATGAAGAAATGACGGACTGACACCGACACGTTCAGAGGCTGCTCGCACGCCAGGCACGGAAGAAGGGAGGGATGGAAGGGGCGCTTGCCATGGCCCCAGAGCCGCACGCTGCTCCACGATCAAGGGAGCTGGCCGGAAATAGTTACAGATGGAGGCACGGAGCAGCGGCTAAAAAGGACACAGTTTAATGCGAGGGCTTAAGATGGCACTTCAAGGTTAGCAGAAGGTCATTTCCCATCAAAATAGAAAAATCACATCTCCCGAGGAAGGGGAGAGACTTCAGAGACCACGTAAGCCACTTAGCTAAACTGCTTTTACTTCTGCTCTGTGAGAGCTGCTATGGTCCTAAGTGAGGAAGGGTCCTGAATCAGCAGGGCTCTTGGGAGGTCAAAGAGGAGGAGAGGGAAATCCTCAGAGAGAAAGGACTCAGCAGAGCAATCACAATCTTCCAGCACAAATGCCCAGTGAGGTCTCTCAGGGCGACACTCCCTGCAGCCTACTTGTCCTCGGGGCTGTACAGCAGAGACATCCCCTGGGGGATTATGTTTATACTCCATCCTAAGGCACTGCACACCACTCAAAGAAAACAGATGGTCAGGGTAGAGCTGATCTTTAGCAGGCCCTTCCGAGGTTTAGAGACAGTGTCTGTCACCCTGAATAGACTACCCAGGTGGTGCCGACTCATCGTGCTGCCCTCCTGTGTTCCCAGGCAGGGTCTGCAACCGTGGCAGCGTGGACTCCGTCGTGGTGCTGTCTGTGTGGGGTACATGGTCAGAGCATTCCTTCTTCCTTAGCCCCAGCAGACGGAGGTGGTGAGAGTCAACACTACCTGCAGGCACGGCCACACATCCTGGAGGACGAACAGCTCCAGCCGAGAACCACTGCCTCTGACCGAGGGCCTTCCTGATCTAGTGTGCTGGGCTGCCCTCACACCCATTTCAAACCTGGATGGTCACATCACAATTTTTCAAATCATGAGCTATGTATCACTAGAATCCACATCATCTGTTACACTGTTTGTGGCATTACT